TCCATACCCCAACTGAGTTGTACATCTAAAAAGAAATTATCAATATTGAAATAAAATAGCCATACATAGATTTTGAAGTATGGTGTAACACAAACAGGTCAAGGCCAATTAATCAAGAGGTTAATCCTAATAGAGATGGTCTATAAGCCTTTAAGAGCTATGAAGAGTGACCAAAGAGAACAAAACTTTATTACTTTTTGTTTGTTTAAGTTAGTACTACTAATAAAATTATTAATTAATTTTAGGAAAAAATACTGGTATTCATCATGATTTCTAGTATTATAATATAATAAAAATGTCTAGTCCTTAAAATAAAATGCCTAAATAATTCAGAGTGGCATTACTATTCTTTGGAACAATGTTTCAAATTCAAATAATATGGTTTCAACAATGTTTATTCCCTTATGTTGATAGGAAAGACAAGCAATGAACTATGTTTAAATACATGAATTTGGAAAACAAGCATAACTGAATTAAAATATTAATTTATGTTGGAGTTTCATTTACTGTAAAAAAAGTTATGAAATATTCCATAATAGTCTTTTTCCATAAAGATAATCTTAAGTATCTAAAGGGAACATTGCAAAACATTTCTCTAGTTAATAAAGGTATTCTTAATTTTCTTAAATAAATTTCCTAGGCTTTAATAGCATTGTCAGTTGAATTACATCTTCTCCATATGAGTTTGCTGACATATTGTCCCTTGGTGTATATAAAGGTCTTTAGGACAGAATTAAGGATAAATGAGGTCATGAGGGGTGGTCCCAAGCCAGAGAAAGAAACATGATATACAAGGAGACATCACCTGTCAGTCAGAGATACCCCTAATCACTTGAACCTTACCAGGATATTAATCTTGTGCTTCTAGTTCCAGAATACATTTATATTTCCACTGTTACTTAGCCTTTTGGACTTTAATCAGATGTTCTTCTATCTCTGACATACAACTATATGCATGAATGCTGCATGTTCAATTTTTCTTAGCCATATACTTTATTGTCTGGACACTAAACTTAGAAGACACCACTGTCTTCTTAAAAAAAAAAAAAAAACTTTTTCTATCTATCACACTCTCTCTCTCTCTCTCTCTCTCTCTCTCTCTCTCTGTGTGTGTGTGTGTGTGTGTGTGTGTGTGTGTGTATACACGCGTGAGTGTGTGATGCAGAGGACTTGTGTATAGTGTATGTCACTGTTAATATGACTATATAATCATAAGCATTCAGATGTTTGTGCACAGGGAGGCCAGAAGCCAATGTGGGGTACCTCCTCGAATGCTCACCTCATTTATTTTTTGAAAAAGGGTCTATCACTGAACTTGAAACTGATCAATTCAGCTAGGGTTCCTGGCCAATGAGCTTTAACAATCTGCATGACTCCGTCCCCTACCCATCTCTGAAGTAATAGATGAACACCATTCCTACAGACATGGGTAACAGGGAATCCTGCAAGCACTTTACCAACTAAGCCACCTTTTCAGCCCATGAAAGGATTTATGATGAACATATCATCATACCTCTTCATCATAGAAATCCTAAGAAAACTTACTTTGCATGAGTAAAACAAAACAAGAGAATGAAATATAATAAAGAAATAATATCCATTCACTTCATTATTCATATGTCAATTTCCTAATTTTGGATCATTACATTAAGAACTGTGTACTAAATACTTCCTCTTCATTGATTGATGGAAGACAGCAAAAATGTTTCCCTAAAGGGTTAATGAATCATTCCTTAAGACATTTTGAGAAGATAATATTTTTTGAAAATATTAAGAAAAATAGAACTGTCAGCTATCTTTTGCTAGGCCTGGATATTGTAAGATATGCTTGATATCAGTCTGCCAACTTTACCTACAATTAAAAAACACACCTCTGGTAGTAGATCAGTATTTATCCCTAGTATACGAATGGACTTTAGGAGTCCATTCCACCTAGAGGGTGGATACACGGAGGAGGATCTAGGAGGATCTAGGTCCTACTCCCCCTAGACCCTGCTTACCAGCATATTAATCTTGTGCTTTTAGGTCCAGAATACATTTATATTTCCACTGTTATTTAGCCTTTTGAACTTTGATCAGATGTTCTCTGATCCCTCTAGGTCCTTCAGACAGACTCTGAAGATTCCCCCATAGAAGGCCTCGCCCTTCCTGGGGAGAAGAAAGGGGCTGGGATAGGGGGTGGGGGGAAGGAGAGGAGGGGAGGGAGAGGGAACTGGGATAGACATGTAAAAGAAGCCTGTTAATAATTTAAAATTGATCTAATTCCAATTATAAAAAATAAAAACCCTCCAAAGCTACACAGAGAAACCCTGTCTCAAAAAAACCAATAAATAAATAAATAAATAAATAAATACCACAGTAATATGTTCCTAAATTAATGGGAAGTACATAAATACATTATAAAATAATTACAATAATGTATTGCAGAAGCCACCATCTGTTGGGAGCCATGTCGCATATTTTACTACAATTTCCTTAATTCTTCATATCTACTTTTGAAAGGTTAAAAATAATCAACCAAAAGGCCAAAGGGTGCAATAGGATGTTGCAGATTATAAAAGTTTCAAGTAATAAGGCAAGGATTTAAGTGAGAATGACAGATGGAAATATCATTACTTTATCAGTATCCAATTTCAATTGTCCAATACATGATACACTCATTATATTTTTATAATTTGCCTTTCTACTAAATAGCTGCACACATCATAAATACAGGTCTTAATGGATGAATTAGTGATGCCTTTGTTTACTTCATGAAGTAAGATTATGTTTTAAACAGTTTAATGGCATTTTATGTTTATTTATTATTTACAGTCCTTTATACCCATTCACCAATTGATGTGAAACTTGATTACCCCTGCTGCCATTTCTGATGGCTGGGTCATTTCTTTTGAACCTGTGTTTTGCTTGCTGTTTTGGAATAAGTAATCTCAACTTGGATACAAGTATTTTAAGCATAATACTTTAAACATCATACTAAAGGAATGAATCTAGTGTGTCTTCCTGTTTGTAATCCATATTTTCTATGAAGAATCACAGATGAACCTCATTTGTTTAAAACCTCAATATACCAAGTTGTTTCTATGTGTGTTTTTAAAGAGTTTCTCTGTGTATATATTTACGTTGTTAATATTGTTGAATGATTCCAATTTTGGTAGGCTTGTCCTCATGTCTTACAATGGCATAAGTCATGAAAAAAAGACAAAAACTGAAAATAGGTTGTGGACCTTTGTGTGTATATATCTTCCACTGTGTGTGTGTGTGTGTGCATGCGTGCATAGGAGAAAGAGAGAGAGAGAGAGAGAGAGAGAGAGAGAGAGAGAGAGAGAGAGAGAGAGGGAGAGGGAGAGGGAGAGGGAGAGAGGGAGAGAGGGAGAGAGGGAGAGAGACGGAGAGAGAGACAGATAGACAGATAGACAGAGGGGGATGAAAAAAGCTGGGCAAAGCTTCTATTAACTGATTAACAGACCATTTGAATCCAAAGCTCTCTTATCTAACACAAGTGAACTATTTATGAAAGTCCTTTTTCTCAAATTTCTGATACATTTTTAAAGTTTGCATTAGTTAAGTTAGTGCAGGATATTATTTTGGCTGGCAGAGTATTATCTCTTTCATTGGTCCATTTGAATTAATAGGTATCTGATACAATCTTTATTTCCTTATGAGTTAGCTCAAACTAAACTTTAATATCACTCCCATCACCAAGACAAAATAAAATAAAAAATTCCAAGGATATAAAGTATGAGAAATCTGTGAGAATGTGACCTAGGCTGGCAGGAACAGCAAATATATTCCTGGAATCAAAATTGAAGACTGAAAATATCTTCACTGCAGCCCCAATATTACAAATGATATTGCAGGATGGTCTTTTCCAATATACATCAGCCCAAGGTTTAACCCCAAACCACATCATATTTGATTTATCTGAAAGCATATTCAAATACAAAACTTATAAGTGGACTTTGAGAAAGGTAAACTTTACAAATATGACCACATCTACTTCTTGTGTGTGTCCTAGAATGAAAAAAAAAATGAAATGATTTTATCTTACAGTGGAGATTTACTTAATCTGTAAGTTTTGTTTCCTTAAAAATTGAATAGAGTAACTTTCTATAATAATTAATATAACTGGAAATGTGTGTGTATGAAACATGATTTTACTTTTTATTCTAATTCATCTATGCTTTTCAGTTAACCACAGAACACCACAAAGCTTCTCTTTAACCCAACAGTAAACCTTAAATGGTTTAGTTATCACTTATGGTAACAAAAGCCCTGTCTCTCCCACCTAGCCACATAGTTGCATAAAAGCTTCCTATGAAGGAAAAACTGAAACAGGGCTTTTTCATGAGAGAGGGTGAGTTTTTGTTGTTTGTTCAGCCTGTACACCTATGATGGTACTTATCACTCAAATCTTCAAGAAGATTTTCAATTCCAGGAGAGATACAAGTATCTTTCCTTAATATCAGTGTGGAGTATTACTGATTCATTTCTCTGGCTCATCTCTCCACAGTAGAATCCCTAGTGCCTTAGCTGTACACACCCGGAGCTAGCGGAAGAATCTTCAGGGAACATCTTGTAGGCGCATTAACATAATTGTTACTGTCATACTCATTCACTTTGGAGAAATCTATCATTTCTCACCTTTCTACACCTGACATTTCAAGTCACTCTATTCATGGAAGGTATTCTGGTAATACCTCCAGCTGTGGTTTAGTTATAAATCATTTCACGTGTAATCTCCTTGGGAGGCTACAGAAACAAAGGTTAACTTTACTTTCTATTTCTAATGCACTGCCTTCTTTGTGGGTATGAGAGAATAACTGCTTATATCCTCATTGACTTTCAGTGATTTTAATGACTTGGGCATTTTTTCAAAAGGCTCCAAACAATGTCTGACAGAAAGTATCATTTGAGTGGCAAACACATACTGAAACTGATGCATTACAGATGAGACAATGAAGTGGTACGACTCTGGAAAATGATTATCTGTTCCTTACCTTATCCTATGTCCAAAGCACTTTCTCAACAGAAGAAGAAATAAAGGATGCCTCCTCAAAAGGTTAATAAAGAATGTCATTTCTCCCTCTCTCCAACTGGATTCCAGAGTTCAGTTCAGTGTATACTTGTGGGGGTCTGCCTCTGCTTCCATCAGCCAATGGATGAGCACTCTAGGATGGCATATAAAGTAGTCATCAATCTCATTACAGGGGAAGGGCATTTAGGGTAGCCTCTCCACCAATGCCTAGATTGTCAGTTCGTGTCATCCCTGTAGATCTCTGGAAATCTCCCTAGTGCCAGATCTCTCCTCAGACCTATAATGGTTCCCCTCTGTGATATCTCTCATCCTGCTCCCCTCAATTCTCCCCTCAATATTTCTGCTCCTCCATTTCCTCTTCTCCCCTCCTCTTCTCCTCCTCTCATTCTGCCAGCTCCCTCTCCCCTACACTCATGGTCCCAATTAGCTTAGGAGATCCTGGACCTTCCCATTCTCTGTGGACCATGCATTTTTCTCTTAGAGTCCTTCTTGTTTCCTAGTTCCTTTGGTGAAGAGGATTGAAGGCTGGTAATCCTTTGTTCTATGTCTAAAATCCATATACGGGTGAGTACATATCATTTTTGTCTTTTTGTAGCCAGGTTACCTCACTCAGGATGTTTTTTTTTTTTCTAGTTCCATCCATGTGCCTGTGAATTTCAGGATTCCGTTGCTTTTTTCTGCTGAGTAGTACTCCATTGTGTAAATGTACCACATTTTTTCTATCCATTCTTCAGTTGAGGGGCATCTAGGTTGCATCCAGGTTCTGGCTATTGTGAACAACGCTGCTATGAACATGGTTGAACATATGTCCTTGTTGTATGAATGTGCATTTTTTGGGTATATGCCCCAAAATGCATTGCTTGTAGTTTGGCAGTCAATTTTATTGGTAATTCAATGGGTTAAATTATATATGACTATTTTGAGTTTGTTGTAATTCCACAACAGCAACAAAACAACCATTTTTTTTTTTTACAGATTTTGAGGCTGAAAGCCAAATCAAAGCCATGAGTTGCATTGGCTTATGAAGCCAACTATATGAATTTTACTTTAATTTCCTCTCTACAGGCTGTTACTGCAAAACCATTATACTAAGGAAGAAGGGAGAATTACAGGGGATTAAATTGAGTTCAAATATTACTTAACAAAGGTCCACTAAAAAGAGGATTAATAGCTACCAAACATTATTTTTAAACTGCCATTTAATTATATTTAACTCCTCATTAAATTATAATGTTCAAATATTAAAATATAAAGGTATAAAATGTTTAAACAAGAATGTCTTAATTAGAATCTATATGAATGACAACCTGAAAATCCTAAGCTAATTAGTATTACAGTGTTCAAACCTGAATACAGATTACAGCAAATTTTATGTTTCTGAAATATTTTATAGAAATACCTTAACTAATTGGTCTTTTGACTCCTCTAGTCCTGGAATAAACTTCCTTCTTCATTTTTATTACCTTTTTGCTGTTTTCCTGCATTCTGTGCTGTATTGTATTGTTCATCTAGGAACTACAGACATTGAGGGCACTTCTGATGCATTTGTGTTTTCCTGAGTAGGTATATCCAAACTAGGAGTTTTCGTGATTGCTTAAACCCTGTACATCTCCTAACACTTGATGCTTATATTCTGACACACACAAAAATCATCTTTTAATTGTTATAAGAAAGTTTTGGAGTCCCTTTTATTTTCATTATATATCTTCTCTATTATTTAAATTAATAAACAGCTTTGATATTACATCAGGGCCCTGTGGGTTGAGTCTGCCTGACCCTTACTTCCGTGCACCATACCTTATCCACAGATCTAGACCAGGTCCCCACACCTAGTATCCTGACATAATCTGTGTTAACTGCCCCAATTTCCTGGATATGTGCAGCACACAACCTACAGGCTCTGATGAGGGACATATCTCATGGACAAACACCGAACCCCTCTTAATACCTGATTTCATTCCTTGCCTGTGGCATCCTGTCTTTCTTCTCAACTACATTACTTACATCTTAATGTAGTATCTAGTCTGCCAAGTCCTGTAGGGGAACCTGTAGCCACACCTGCTTAGGGGCTGGCTACAGGTCTGCCTGACCACGCCTGTGAGGTGGTGATGTAGAGAAAGAGTTTGAGTTGGTTGAGTTTCACTTTCAGTTTTTACCCTTTTTGGCTTGCTTACAGACTGCTGCCACACCGGCTGGCTAGGTTGCTTTGTAAGTAAGACTTTTCCCTATTAAATACCCTTATATTTTTACTTGGCTCCATATTGGTAATTTCCTATTATATCTGGTTGTCAGGAGCGGGATATTGGAAACCTATACCCCATTTGGGAAAGGCTATGGGTTCAACCCGGCCTGTGGCCTAGGTCCAGAAAGCCTCCTCTCTCCACAGGTGCTCCCAGCTAGCAGCCGACCTGCTGCAGCTGAGCTGCTCACAACCATCCAACCAGCTTGGAGACAGTTTCTAGCTGCCTAGAGTCGAGGTAGGCCTCGGCTTTCAGCAGAGGCTTCCCCTGCCCACTGCTGCGGTAAAGCCACATCTGTTTCAGTGGTTGCTGCCACAAAGCCATATACTGTATACTCTCTAAGATAAGTGCAGCCACTTTTGTGACCTCTCTCCACTGCTGATCGACTGCTGCCAAACGCCAAGCCAGTGGCTGAACACCTGTGTCACCATGCTGGTCAAAGATAGTTACTACATCTGGAGTAGAAATCAGGTAAAATTATGATGGAATATTTATCATTTGCTAAAACTGGTAATATTTTTACTTATTACATGAATTCAATGTTTAAGGAGGATGCTAATCTGCCAATTACCAGCTATTACTGCTTATAATAGCAGTTAGCTTGCTGGTACAAATAGTATTACTAGCCAGAGGACTCAGGAACAGGGATAAGGATAACCTAACCACCTACTTACAGGAAATAAAGCTTTACACAATAAGGTTTTGGAGAACAGATTAGGTCAGACCACAATTGTGCAGAGAGTGGAACAGAAATTGGATGATATTTATGATAAGAAAAACACAGAGAGAACCTCCATGTCTGAGGCCTTAGAGGCTAGGCTGTCAGAAGACTGTGATGACTGAAAGAATATCTGCAGCCAGCTAGAAACTCAGATAGGCAATGTTACCCAGCAACTAGATGCAAAGGTGCGAAATACCCAGGATAGGGTTGAAGAATTGGACAATGTCATTCAATCAATTATTGCAGATACCTCCATGTCTGAGGCCTTAGAGGCTAGGCTGTCAGAAGACTGTGATGACTGAAAGAATATCTGCAGCCAGCTAGAAACTCAGATAGGCAATGTTACCCAGCAACTAGATGCAAAGGTGCGAAATACCCAGGATAGGGTTGAAGAATTGGACAATGTCATTCAATCAATTATTGCAGATTCCAAGGGAGCAGATCAGAAATTTGAGTCTAGATTTGAATGTTTGGAAGATAATTTACAGTACAGGGCTGTCAGATTACATAGGTCATACAGTCGATTGCTGAGGACTCAAAATCAGCAAATCATGAACTTGAATCTAGACTTCAATACCTAGAAGGCAGTTTCCATTCCATCCAGATGCTGCCTAAGGATGATCTATTAAAGACCTAGAAAAACATGTAGATGAGCAGTTAGAGCAATTTACAGATTTACTAACATGCTTGGAATCTTTTATGATTAAGGAGATTGAAACTTTTCATAAAGATATCATTACTAGGCTTAAAGATCATTGGGATGCCTCAGAGGCAGAATCACTCCAATCCAAGGAACCTACTCCACCCAGGTATCATGACAATTCTTCTAAGGTTGTTACTCTTACACGATTAGTGTACCCAGCTACCATGGTAGAAAAGCCAGCTTCTAAGAAACACCCTCATGGACAGATGGCTTATGAATGGCAACCTATACAGCTGAAGGATCTTAAGAATATTAAAGAATCAGTTATCTCATATGGTCTCCATAGCCCATACTAAAACAGCTATTACATTCATGGGCAACCTTTAACAGGTTGAAACCCACAGATTGGGAACGATTGGTAGCAGCTGTACTTGAGAATTCATGCCAAATCCAGTGGAAAGCATTGGTGAGAGAAGAGGTGAAGCTCCTTGAGCATCAGGGCATAAAGGAAGGTTTTGAAGCCCCCACTAGATAAGATTCTTGGTGAGGAAATTTATGCTGACCCCCAGGTTCAGGCTGAATATGATGATGATATACTGTCCCTATGCAGGAAAGCAGCATTAAATGACTGGGATAAGGTTCGTGAGCTAGGAGAATGCTTAGAAGCTTATACCAGAATAGAACAGGGACCTACAGAACAGTTCCAAGACTTCTTACAAAGGTTAATTAGGGCAGTAGAATTACAGGTAACATATCCAGGAACAAGACAAGCAATTATATACAATAGCTTATGAAAAGCAAACCCAATAAGCAAAAGAATACCTTTGCCTTTAAAGATCAGATCAGCTCCACTAGAAGAATGGGTTTTGCATGCAACCAACATTGATTATAATGTGCAAGATACTGGAGCTTGGGTAGGAGAAGGTTTAAAACCATTTCAAAAGGTTTAAAAAGGCAACAGGAAATTAAAAGTTCTAAATGTGAGAATGCAAGGGCTTGGGAAGGAAAAGCACCTTACAGAGGTCAACATAGTTACCAAGAGGTTAGAGGTTACTACTACTATGAACCAGAATCTTGGGTAGGAAGAGACTTCCCCTGGAGACCACGAAGGCACCAGGAACCTAGATGTTTCAACTGTGGTAAAATGGGACATAGTAAGAGAAATTGTAGACAAATGAATTTTAACAATGCCTCATACGGAAGGCCACTGCCTTCTGGATTGTTTAGAAGATGTGGTAAGGGCAGACACTGGACCAATGAATGTAGATCGACCAGGGACATATAAGGAAACCTGTTAAGGCTGGGAAACCCCGAGGGGGGTACTCAAGAAGGCCCCCACAACAAGAAAAGTTGTGTCATTCAAAGTAACAGTGGGAGACAATCTCTCACAGGACAAATAGATAGTTCTTTGCCTATTGTGAAATGATACTGCTCTAGATGGTAGTTTGAATAGTGATGAAGAATCAAGTGTGAATTGACAAAATGAGAAACACATATTTTGGCAAGCTCCTATTAATGATAAAAGGCCT